CCAATTCATAAATTGCCTAACGATTTTACATGACATTGATTTACACTGTACCAAATTTCAACGCTTTACTGTAAATAGTGTTTAAGATACTTGGAAAAATGTGTTAAAATTTCCTAACTTTGATGGCCTGTATCGTCGAAATTTGAAGACTTTTACTAATTTTTTTTACATGAATCGTCTACATTTTCACTCTAGTATATATTATGGTTAAATTTGTTCCCCGAGTCACCGAAACATCCTGTATAAAGTCAATTATTTAAAATCGCTTACTCTCAAACACTTATTAGTCTTCATGTCAGAATTTACTAATCAAGAATATGCGGACATTATTTTTCTTTATAGTTTCTGCAATGGAAGCGCCTTGGCAGCTGCCGTAGACTATCGCCGAAGATTTCAGAAGAGGCAGCCGTCTCGAGCAGTCTTTACTTGGGCATACAGCAGATTACGGAAATTTTGTATTGCGCGAAATCATGGAGGAGGTCCACGTATTTGCCACAATGTACAGACAGAGGAAGCCCTTATTGACGTGGTTACGTGCTTCCAGAAGACTTGGACTTTCTCAATCTTTTGTGCATCGAAGTTCATACGTATCACATTCAGCTAGTGCAAAATTTACAAGCAGGTAACCAACAAATAAGGGTTCAATTTTGTGAATGGTTTTTTAATTTAATTGTTTGGTATGACGAAACAACTTTTATAAGAGATGGTGTCAATAGCGTGCATAACAGTCACGTGTTAAGAGATTTCGAAATCACTTTTTTTTACGAAAAGTTGAGCTTCTGCAAGAGTAGTATCAAAATCTGTACGGCGGTATTCTTGAACCCAGTCGCAAAACGAACGTCAATAGCCACTTTTAAGTTAACATGAACTGTTACCTGGTACCATACATGTATAGAAACTACAAATTCAAAAGTTAACATTTCTTTCGAATCTGTTTCACAATCACACAAAGTCTTGGCATCTTCTCCACATTCCTTTTTCAAATCGTTTAGACAGTTGATAACATAGTCAAATTGTAAATACATAGCTTTAATTGCTGCGATTTGACTTTCCCATTTTGTTTCAGACAAAGTTTTCAGGCCTACGACGCTGTTAACAAATAATGTTTGGTGACAGAATTATGGCCCATTTTTCTCTTTCCCAAAGATATTTAGAAATGTTAGAAAACATTTTGTTTCACATTATAACAGATATCTCATTAAAGGTTAACCCCTAAACCTAAATGTTTTCAACAAGATGGTGCCCCAGAACATAGTACACGAGATATAAGTACGAGATAAATTGTTTCCAAACCGTTGGATTTGACGGTTTTCTGAAAATCCATTATCATCAGACTTAACACCATCAGAATGCGAAATTTTCGAGAAAAAATTATGAAAAAACCAGGGTGGTGCTGTTTTTTGGCGGACACTGTACATGATCATACCCGTAAATGCTTTTTATGTATTCATTTTCTGGATCGTCTAAGGCGTTAATTTTAACACCCATTGCAGTTTCTAAAATTAAATTATTTGAAATAAATTTATAAAAAAATTTGCTTTATATATACCACAAATAATATCTAAAGTACATCTTGTTATGTACGGATATAAATTGAAAATATCCCCATCGGCTTTATCCTTTAATACTTCCACCAATTTTTGACTTTTTTCCACGAAAATATCCACAAAGTTTTCCAATATTTTAAAGTGAAAAGTTGGAGTAATAATCTTCCTATGTCTATGCCATTTCTCTCCTGTACTGGTTAGCAAACCTTCTCCGAGCCAAGGATGTGCTATTTTGTACATTTTACTTTTTGAAATTTGAGTTGAATTGTTTAAAATGACCTAAAAAATTGTGCTTCAATTAAACCTTAAATGTTAATGAAATCGATTTTACCTCAACAGTTTCTGGTTCTATACAATGTACGACCGGTACATTACCCAACCATGTTCTTACCACTGGACCATATCTTCTCAAAACAGTTTTTACCACAAAAAACATCGCTAATAAAAAAAATTGTTTATTTTTCTTTTTATTTATTTAGTAATTATTACCGGATTTAGGAATAAAAAGTAGAGGCCAAGTTGTCCCAAAAACGGGAAGTTTAATCGGTCCAGGAACTTTATCCACATATTTAGTTACCCTATCGCGTAACAACACCTCCAAACTAAAATAAAGAACTAAAATTGTTGTTACAATTATTAACAAATTAAAAGGATCCATGTCTTGTTAGAATGACCATGCATTAAATGAAGCCAAATATATAATCACCGATAAAACCAGACGTTATCTTAGCTGCTTGAGTTTCAAGTATACACTATGAAGGTCAATAATCAATTATGTATTAAAAATTAAATAACTTAATTTATTAGTTTTATTTTGTGCTTAAGATCAATTAAATATTGAAAAGACACAACAAAAATTGAATTTATGATAAAGGTTTTGCGATGTCTATCGAAAATGAATCATTTAGATGAGAAATGGGCAGTGTTTCATTATTTTAAAATCAAGACAACTGTGGTTTATTTTAAATGATCATCAACACCATAAATTTTATCTAAACTTTTAACTTTTTAAACTTTTTTGCTCATACTGCAGATCAAAAAATAAACTTAAGAAATGCAGATTGGGTTGCATAAAGAACGCTGTCTTATGGAAAAAGTTAACGAGTGTATACGATTTGGTACTTTGTTAACATTGGCAGGAGTTTATAAATCCTATAACGAAGGAGATGGATAACTGTAAACGATATAGTAGTTACTCTATCACTTCAACAGTCTCAACTTTGTCTTTTTAATGAAACACTATATTGTAATATTTTTAATAAAGCTTAGAAATTCGAATCCAATGATACCCAACAATTAAATATTAATTAATTAGTTTTTATTACATTAATTATTAAAAATTAATAAAATATCAATTAAAACACAATTTTTTTAGTGAATTTGATGTCTTTTGAAACTGATTCAAAGGAACCAGAAAATAAAAGATACCAATGTGTCAGAATATCAGTAATTGGTAAAAAAACTACCTTTGGATGATTAAAACGGATGAAGGAATGAACAGGTTGATTTCGATGTCTTTTGAAACTGTTTCAAAGGTGCCAGAAAATGGAAAATACTTATTTATGTGTCAAAATTGCATTAATTGATAAAAAGCATCCTTACGATAATTGAACATTATGAAGGAATTAAAAAGTTGATTTTAATGGTTGTAATAATCTAATATTTAAATTTAACATTTTATTTGATTTGTTAGCTATTTCTATATTATTTCTACTGCTTGTGCCATTGGTAGAACGTTTTTTTTAGAACTTTTAAATGTGAGATTTGGAAAAGTGGTTATGTTTGACTCTTTTTCCGTAGAATTCGGTCTAAAAAACTATTTATACATGTACCAGACAGCCAAATCTCCGGCTTATTTACTTCGTCCAATTTTGCAAATGGAACAGATAATTTAAACGATGAATAGTTTTGAGGATATTAAGAATCTAACTGACAACATTGTATAGAATTAAAAAAGCCCTTATTATTTAAATATTTTTTTACATCTTTTGACTTTGTGTTTGGGTCTAGACCATATATGTGAAGATGAGCGTAACGAACTGCCTCCTTTAATAAAATTCACTATTGCTTGTTGTACCATAAGTAGTTTCTAACAAAGAAGCTCTGTGAACCTGGATCCTGGAGTTTACGATATTTTGGTTTTATTAGTACCATTCGATAGAGAATCGTTTGTACTTGTTTGTACCACCTTTAATTTCGTTTGTACCTCACGACCTAAAGAGATAAAAAAATTTTGAAAAATTGCCGGAACCCCACAATCCATTACCATGGTTCTCCTGGATTTAAGTTAACTTTTGGATTTTTGAAAGCATAGCAACATGGCAGCCGATGTTCTTGTCACAATTGTTTCTGCATTACATACATCGGTCCAGCCTTATCTTAAAACATTATACGCCCTACCCTTATAAATTCTACTAACAGGTCGAATACTGTTCCAATTGTCGCCTGAAATAGTAATTGTAGTTCTAAGAGGCACATTTAAAAAAGCAAAAAAAAAGCAAAGCAAAGAAAGCGAAAAGCAAAGCGAAAATACCTTGTAGTATGTTGTCTTGTGTACAACACGTGTTTGTGTGGATAAGTCTAGTCGTTATAAATCATCAAAACATTAAACATATCAAGCCACACCGGCTAGAGTTGAGAACGGTTACGACCCAAACGTCAATTTAGTCTTATGTACTTGAAAAGTATGAGAACCACCGAGACCGAGACCCGGGGCTTCACCTAATATCAAAAAAAAACTGTATTTTGGAAACTGTTGGGGCATAAACAAAATGGAAGGCGGTACACACGATTCTCTATCGAATTCTATCGACTGTTTTGCGATATCTGTATTAATAACGGAGATACACATTTTCACCAATATTCTGAAGAATCAAAAAATCGCTGTATTTTGGAATCGGTTGAGGTACAAACGAAATTGAAAGTGGTACAAACGGGTTCAAACGATTCTGTACCGAATGGTATTAATAAAATTTGAATATCAAAAAGTGGGGTTCAGGCAATTTATCAAAATTTTTTTATCTCTTTAGGTGCTGAGGTACAAATGAGCCACGTTAATGGAGCCGCTGAACGACTGTAAAATCGTTTTTGTAATTCGCGACGGTAATGAAAACTCTAACAGTACTCAAACGGGTGCTGTAATGAGACTCCTTACAGCATCCGATGCTGTAATGAGATTTTAGTAACATTTTATGCAACCAGTTCAAGTTGGTGACATTGGGTCATTAATTTTTCTAGTTGTCAATGTGACAATTTTTGTCTATGGATGTTTAAACACGTTCTTAGCATCGAATACAAGGTCCACAATGATGAGGACATTGACCCTGAGCAATTTCTCTTATTTTGGGAGGTGTACATCAAACATTTTTTTCAGGTGAATATATTTTGTGTTTTGACAGTTTCTAATTGTCAATTCAAAGTTTCTATTTTCAAGTGTTCCGGTGTTACCAACTGCTACATACCTATTTCCCTACATTGCCAAAATTTACTTTATTTTTGTTAAAAAAAAGTATAAAAACGCGAATTACAAAAAATAGCATAAAAAACACGTTTCATAAGACTTAAAGCACTCATTCATTAAAAAACTCGTGGCTTCGCCACTCGTTTTTCAACTTGAATTCGTGCATTTCAAGCGTATCTTACGAAACTTGTTTTTTAATATACTATTTTGTAATTCCCAATGGTAATGAAAGCTATAACAGTACTCAAACGGGTGCTGTAATGAGACTCTTTACAGCATCCGATGCTGTAATGAGATTTTAGTAACATTTTATGGAAGCAAGTTGGCCAAGTTGGTGAGATTTGGTCATTAATTTTTCTAGTTGTCAATGTGACAATTTTTGTCTATAGATATTTAAACTCGTTCTTCAGATCGAATACAAGGTTCACAATGATGAGGACATTGAACTTTGAGCAATTTCTCTATATTTTGGAAGGTGTACATGAAACATTTTTTCAGGTGAATACATTTTGTGTTTTGACAATTTGTAATTGTCAATGCAAATTTCTATTTTCAAGTGTTGCGGTGTTACCAACTGCTGCATACCTATCTCCCTACATTGTGAAAATTTATTTTATTTTTGTTAAAAAAAAGGATAAAAACGCGAATTACAAAAAATAGCATAAAAAACACGTTTCATAAGATTTAAAGTACTCATTCATTAAAGAGCTTGAATTCGTGCATTTCAAGCGTGTCTTACGAAACTTGTTTTTTAATATCCTAGTACCTACATTTTTATTTAATAATTTATCGGACTGCTTTGCAACAAGCACATAAGTTGAAGCTTTATTTTTATTTTTGTCTTTATAGTTTTTATTGTTTCAACCGGATTTGCGTTCTGCCAGCACATCCAAACCCAATGGTTCTTTCATCCGAAAATGACGAAGAGGGAGTTATTTCTAAACAAGATAAAATTTGTAATTTTGTGTTTCCTCAACCATAATGCTCAAATACTAGTATGTGCCAAGGTTTATATATTAAAGGTTATCTAAGTTCCTATGCTGCAATAATTTGATTTTAGTTTGTGGGCGAGGGGCAAGAGCAGGAGTGTTTCGTGACGTAACCGATCACGGATTGCGCACGCAACGTCATGGCCATGTGGTGCTCCATGCCTTTGTTTAATTTGAATTGCTTGGCGGTATTATTTTCCACATGTGACGTAATGTGCAGTATGATTGCGTACGAATCTAGACAACCTCTTATATACAGCGTGTCCCGTATCTTCCGCATCAGAGCATTATACGGTTGTAGAATACATTATTCTGAAGCGATCTTTCTAATAAAATTTTTTCGAAATGTTTATAATAACCGCACGGGAACTGTTTAACGACGACCAATAACGGACAACTTTGATTCATCGAAAAAGTTTATTTCTCTTTCCATGACGAATCTATTGGTGAGTACACGTGGGAAACGAGTTATCATCGGCGTAGCGGACCGGCCGAGGGTGGCACCGATTACCTGAGTCTGATTTGCGATCTGCTGATTGGACGAAAAACAGTTCCTTTAAACAGTTCCCGTGCGGTTATTATAAACATTTCGAAAAAATTTTATTAGAAAGATCGCTTCAGAATAATGTATCCTACAACCGTATAATGCTCTGATGCGGAAGATACGGGACATGCTGTATAAACCTTGAGTATGTGCATCATATTATGGAACATAACGTCATTGATTTTGACTATAATGAATGAGCTTTTTATATATAGGCCCATTAGCTCAGTTGGTTAGAGCGTCGTGCTAATAACGCGAAGGTCGCGGGTTCGATCCCCCCATGGGCCAATTTTTTTTTTCTTATTTTTTAAATAAAAATCAAAAATCAGTAAATCTGTTCAGATATAATGCGAAAAGAGCCGCTCGTATCAAATAACTAAAGACACGTATTATAAGTAACATTACGAAATAAGTGTCTTTAGTTATTTAAGTATTTTAGGAACACGACATAATTTTTAAAAAAATAATAAGAGTACGAAAAGTTTTAGAATTAAATTCTACATGAAATGCAGTAGTAATGTATTAAATACGCCAAAAGGTTAAAAAAATCTGTCAAAATTTAAGGTACCATCACCCTTAATCAACCCTTTGAATTGCCTCAATTGAGATCAATTTACTACAAATTAATACCCTTGGTACACTCATAACGTATACCAAATTTGGGTTTTCTAGCTTAATTTATTACGAAGATATTGAAACTTTTTAAAAATTTAAGAGCCAACTTTGAAGGCCTCTAACTCCTCAGGTGTACAACTTAGTATAGAGGTAAGTTACTTTAAATCATCTTAATTTATTGTCATCTACATGTCCCTGCTCTGTGTCGGTTCTTATGTGAATCACCCTGTATANACATATCGCCATCTACCATCATATTATTTACGTACTTCTTGCGAGCCAGAGGAATGACCGCTAAAGGTGGTAACATAGTTTCTATCATCTTTTTGAGGGGAGTTTTAAAGTGAAACATATTTTTATATTAGTTTTACTGAAAGTTCAGGTTTGCTTAATCAAAATGTAAAATTACAAATGAAGAATGTTAATAGATTTTTGTCTAATATGTACATAATGTTAGACGTCTCCAGTTATAACATGCCAGAGGAATGATATTTTGACATGATTTTTTACTATAATTTAATAATAATAAGTATGATTTCATTAACTCTTTAAGAACTCAATATAGCTGGTCTATACTTTTCTAGAAACAATACGATATTTGTAGAAAGTAATTTTTTGTCGAAATTGTTACCGGTAACAGCAAAAATGATAGTTTCTATAGAATTACCGTAATGCTTCAATAACCCTAATGTGTCAACCCCCGAATAGTCCGGATACCAATGTTCTGGACCTCGATTTTTTTAATGCAATACAGACGCTGCAGTATCAAACTGCTGCTTCAAACATCGATCAATTCATCGATTTAGTCACCGAGGCTTTTAACGATCTAAGTCATGAAACATTAAACAAGGTCTTCTTAACACATCAACAGTGTATGATAGAGACAATGACAGCAAATGGCGGCAATAATTATAGGTTGCCTCAATTAGGCAAGAATAAGTTGCTTAGACGAGGAGACTTACCACTTTATCTTAAATGCGGTATAGAGCTCGTCGAAGCTACTCAGGCAAAGATTAGTAGCAGTAATTAGTAATTAAGTAGTGTTATTATTATTCTTACAGTTTTGTAAAGTTATAAATATATTTCTTAAGAATTTTGAACGATATAATTATTAAATTTTCACCATATCGGTCATTTATTATGGGACAGAGGGAGTATGTGTTACTAAACCGCGATTTTCCGCGAAAGTGTATGGAAAATCGAAAAAATAAAATATATCACTCATTAAGAACACATCAGGCTACCATCTGTTCAAAATTAAAATTTTTGAGTACGATAGTTTTCGAAAAAAAATATCACAAAGTTTTTTCATTTAACACGCGATAACAAGAAAACCGTGAATCCGAAAATTTTTAAATTACCATATGTTACGCAGAAATGTTCAGTGATTACAACAAACTTTGTCGCAATTTTTTTTATTGAGCGGTTGCGAAGATATCGATCTCTAAAGTGAGGGGCCTTGTCTTTTTGCATGGATAGTAGTTTATTGCTAAAACGGTAATAAAACGAATAAAGAAAACATCAAGCATTCACATGGAATAGACATTTGTATATATTTTTTAAAAAATAATTACAACGTTATGTAATAGATATATCAGGCAGAATCATTGAGATTTAGTTTTCCTTTCTTTTTGATTTAAAACATTTCTAAACNTTAAAAATTTTTGAAGAAAATAATTTAGAGTTTGATTTTGTACTTTTAAACAGGTTTTTATTTTATATAGAATTTAAGTCTAACCAGTTTCGGCCCTTGGCCATCTTGAGAGACTCTACAAATAGCTTAACATCTCTAATCTTATCCATTTTACAAACAAGTTTCTTAATATTTCTTTTTGTTTTATTAAAAAGGATCACATATCAAAGTCGAAATCACATTATTAGTTACTAATTTACAAAATAAAACTCGACGATTTTTTTTAATCAATGTGAAATGACCCAAAAAACACGTTAAAAATAAAAAGAATGTGCGGAAAAGTGACTAACACTAGATTAACTTCAGTTATAAAACTTCTATTATATGATAACTAACTTCAGGTTTAAAATGTCAACCTCAGTTTTGACATNGTAATAAAACGAATAAAGAAAACATCAAGCATTCACATGGAATAGACATTTGTATATATTTTTTAAAAAATAATTACAACGTTATGTAATAGATATATCAGGCAGAATCATCGAGATTTAGTTTTCCTTTCTTTTTGATTTAAAACATTTCTAAACAATACTTTTCATTTTACAATAATTAACATAAAAGAACTCTATAAAAATCGAAATTTAAGTAAAAAATTGTGCAACATTTTTTTTACAATAAATTGAACTAATCAGACATTTCATTCCACACTTTACTTGGCTTTTTTCGCCTCCTGCTTCACAGCTTTTCCTTCATCCTTATCTTTCTCCTCAGAACTATCTTCGTACCTAAAAACAAATAAACACATTTTAATCATTTCTTTATTAATAAAAATTTAAATCATCTTACTTCAACATTAAAGTTATATCTCCTTTGACTAAAGCCAATAAAAGTGGGGTACCCAAACAGGCGGGGACGAGATATAACAGAGCTGGTTGAGCATGCTTAAACATGTGCATTACAAAAATGGTAGTCATTAACCCCAAGAAATATGCGAAACAAGTGGCGTGGAAGTAAGTGTGTGTATTTCTTTTTAAACTATGATCAAAACGCAAAAGTAATGCAATAAATATTCCTGGAATAACGATATCTCCTAAACCTAACATGGCAAAATTATTCGCAGCTAATCCATTTGTTAATAAATCTTGAGGGAAAACCACTAAAAAGAAATCAAATAATTAAAAATTCTTGGAAAATTAAAATCATTTTATTACATTTGATTGGGGCTTCAAAGCTTTTAGCAACAGTAACCATAACATCAGTGCCAAAAACCCAAAATATATCATAAATGAATAATCCAGATAATAAAATCAATCCTGTCACAACATTATTTAAATGCAAAAGTTCAACGGCGTTTACAGCAAACGCCAAACCAAATAAATTGTTGGCTACCCAATGTTTTTGGAGTAAATACCAAGCTCCAACTAATGAGCAACATGCTAAAGCTACAATGTCGTGAGAAGAGAATCGATAGTTTATTAAATCTTGGGAAGACTCTCCTTCGCCTCTCTTAAATAATATATGGAAGGGAATGTTTGGAATGGCTGCTGGAACCAATTTTGTAACAACTGGGCTAAAATAAAAAAAAAACAGGATTATGATAAGGTATTTAATAAAAATTCCTTGATTATTACCTCATTAAGTGAGTCAATGCTAAAACTCCTAAGAAAAAGAAGTAACCAGTCAATAGCAAGTTGATGTACTCCTTTGAGAATAATTTAAAAACTACGTATAATGAAACAAGAGCACATGATGCCATTATTGGGAACATCGCTGCATCCTTCTTAGTCATTTTTTCAGGTTTCTACAAATTACGAAATAATTAGTTAAAAACATACTACAAATGTTAATTAGCCCAATAATTAACATTACAAGTTGAAATGAAAAATGAAAATAAATCAAATAAAAATAAGTCTTTTTAATTTAGTATATCTAAAATTTCCCCCCAAACAAATAAAATTCTCTATTAAACGATGGGATTGATGATAAATGGTACTTACAAGAGCCCCTCTTACCTTCTCCTTATGGTAATTCACGCTCCGGTAAGAGCCAAAGAAAATGGGTAAAATGGCCATAATAACCAAACTCCCGTAAGCAACGGCCATCCCTTCCGGAGTACTCGGGGGCCTTCCTGATGTATTCGTTGCATTTTCAGTTGTATTTTCACTAGCCTGAGCCAGAAAGCTAAACACCACGTCTGCCATACTTTGAATCACTTTGAATGAAGAAACTGACGTGCACCGATTTCGACACGTCACAAACGTCAAAACAGTACCAACTTAATCACATATTTCTTTTAATAAATCAAACAAAAATCTTTAAATAAACACACCAATTAAATCAATAATTTTTAATTAAATCACGTTTAATTTAATACGAAATTAAGTTAAAATTAAAAAATAAATTAATTATTTTAGTATGAAGAAAGAAAATAAATGAATCATGTTGGCAACAATTAAATCGATTGTCATATAGCCACGTGCTAAAGTCAAAATCATTTAAAGATAACCTCACTTTTGTTTTGGTTATTAAACTCTAAAAATGGAAAATAACGAATCAAATATTAATATTGATGTAAAAGCTTTTAATTTAACTAATAATAAAAGGAAAGCGGTCGGTGAAACTCCTATGGAAGTTGAAATTCACAATGGAATTGAAGGTAAATCCAAAAATAGGCCCTCAGATTCAAAGAAAAAACGAGCCAGCGGAGATAAATCGGAAACTTTTCGGAAAATTCACGTCCCCGCTCACCGCTACACACCTTTAAAAGAAAATTGGTTAAAAATTTTCAAACCAATCACGGAACATTTACATTTAGAGGTTAAGTTTAATTTAAAAACGAGACATGTTGAAATAAGGACGTGTGAAGCTACGGAAGATATAGGAAATATACAAAAAGCGGCCGATTTTGTTAAAGTATTAATTAATTTGTTTATTAATTGATTTTATTAATACTTTTTTTCTTTTAGGCGTTTGTTTATGGTTTTGATGTTGAAGATGCTTTGGCGTTGATTCGATTGGATGATTTATTTGTGGAAACTTTTGAAATAAGGGATATTAAAACTTTGCAAGGTGATCATCAATCGAGAGCGATCGGCCGATTGGCTGGAAAAGGTGGACGAACCAAATTTACCATTGAAAATGCGACCAAAACTAGGATTGTTTTAGCTGATTCTAGAATACATATTTTGGGAAGTTATCAAAATATTCAAGTTGCTAGGAGATCAATTTGTAATTTGGTTTTGGGATCACAACCTTCCAAGGTTTATGGTCATTTAAGAAATGTTAGTAGTAAATTATCAGAGAGAATATAAATTTAGAATTTAATAAAAAAATGTTTTTTAATTTATTACTTGTTTTATTTTTCATAATAATTTGTTAATTATAACTGTGTAATCTTTTATCAAGTCATAATTAGATCATTTGACTAAGCGACAAATGAATAATGTTGAGAAAAACGGGATTTTCGTTTTCATCTCTCTAAAAATATAAGACTTCTCAGAATAGACAGGCACAACCTATTGAAAATTATTTGGTGCCTGTCCATTTTTAACACAGAACACTGATGACAGCTATCACAAGCACAAAGAGCATACAGGATGTTTCTGTAAGTCATGGCATAAATTTAATCATTTAAAACTAGAGACAAAATGATGACAATTAGTGTAAAAATGTTTGAAGAAAATAATTTAGAGTTTGATTTTGTACTTTTAAACAGGTTTTTATTTTATATAGAATTTAAGTCTAACCAGTTTCGGCCCTTGGCCATCTTGAGAGACTCTACAAATAGCTTAACATCTCTAATCTTATCCATTTTACAAACAAGTTTCTTAATATTTCTTTTTGTTTTGTTAAAAAATATCACATATGAAAGTCAAAATCAGATTATTAGCTACTAATTTACAAAATTAAAGTTTAAAAAGTTGTAAAATGAAATTAAGAACGAAATGTTACAAGTTTACAGGTTAAAATTTAAGAACGCTTTTTTTTAACAAAAGAAATATTAAGAAAATTGGGAAAAATTCAAGAATCATCATGTGGCTTAAAAATCGACGATTTTTTTTTAAATTAATGTGAAATTACCCCAAAAACACGTTAAAAATAAAAAGAAAGTGCTGAAAAGTGACTAACACTAGATTAACTTCAGTTATAAAACTTCTATTATATGATAACTAACTTCAGGTTTAAAATGTCAACCTCAATTTTGACATATTTGTAATCTTCATTAAAAATCCTTTAAAATGAGTACAAACACGACATATTTATCTTCAATATTAATGAAGTTATGGTCAACTTCCGGTTAAGAATGTCAACGTCAATTTTGACATATTTGTAATCGTCGTGAAAAATCCTTTAAAATGAGTCCAAACAAGATACGTTTAATTCCAATATTATTTGAGATATAAGCAACTTCCGGTTTGAAATGTCTATGTCATCTTGACATATTCTTAATTTCTATCACATTTCTATAAACTGTCTTAATATTTGTCACAAAAACAAAAATATAATAAATAAAATATTAAGGTTGGTATTAATATTTAAAAATTAAATTGATATCTTCATTGTTGCTAACTTAACGTTTATTGTTTTTTATTCTAACTGTTTTGTTTTTTGAGATAAGTGCGTCATCTTTGGACTCATTTTAACGGTTTTTTAATGAAGACGGTAAATATGTCAAAATTGACATTGACGTTTCAAACCGGAAGTGATTGTATTTCCATTAATATTAATGTTAATATGTCGAGTTTGGACTCATTTTAAAGGTTTTTTTATGAAGTTGACAAATATGTCAAAATTAAAAGTTGAAAGTTCGAACTTTTTGGTTTTTTGAGATAAATGCGTCAAGTTTGGACTCACCTTAAAGGTTATTTTATGAAGATTACGAATAGAATAAAATTAAAGTTGACATTGACAACTGAAAGTTTTTTTTCAACTAAATCCGAATGTTTCTAGTTCTCTTTCTAGTTTTAGTTCAATAAAGATAGACAACTTAGTAATATCTTATGCTAACTAGCGCTACTTACCACTGCCACTAGAATTAACACTAGACCGAGAACTAGAAACATTCGTATTTAGTCCTACGTCTCTCAAGACGATTAAACCCGAAACTTTCTAGTTCTAGGTCTAGTGTTAGTTCTAGTTTTAGTGCAATAAAAATATGCAACATAGTGATATCTTATGCTAACTAGCGCTACCTACCGCTGTCGTTTGTAAAATGGATAAGATGAGAGATGTTAATTTTTTGACTGTNACAGGATGTTTCTGTAAGTCATGGCATAAATTTAATCATTTAAAACTAGAGACAAAATGATGACAATTAGTGTAAAAATGTTTGAAGAAAATAATCTAGAGTTTGATTTTGTACTTTTAAACTGGTTCTTATTTTATATATTTAAGTCTAACCAGTTTCGGCCCTTGGCCATCTTGAGAGACACTTCAAATAGCTTAACATCTGTAATCTTACCCATTTTACAAACAAGTTTCTTAATATTTCTTTTTGTTTTGTTAAAAGATATTACATATGAAAGTCAAAATCAGATTATTAGTTACTAATTTACAAAATTAAAGTTTAAAAAGTTGTAAAATGAAATTAAGAACGAAATGTTACAAGTTTACAGGTTAAAATTTAAGAACGCTCTTTTTTAACAAAAGAAATATTAAGAAAATTGGGAAAAATTCAAGAATCATCATGTGGCTTAAAAATCCACGATTTTTTTTAATCAATGTGAAATGACCCAAAAAACACGTTAAAAATAAAAAGAAAGTGCAGAAAAGTGACTAACACTAGATTAACTTCAGTTATAAAACTTCTATTATATTGTAATCTTCATTAAAAATCCTATAAAATGAATACAAACACGACATATTTATCTTCAATATTAATGAAGTTATGGTCAACTTCCGGTTAAGAATGTCAACGTCAATTTTGACATATTTGTAATCGTCGTAAAAAATCCTTTAAAATGAGTCCAAACAAGATACGTTTAATTCCAATATTACTCAAGATCTAAAGAACTTCCGGTTTGAAATGTCAATATCATTTTGACATATGTATTCTTAATTTTTATAAAACGTCTTAATATGTCACAAAACAAAAATATAATTAAAAAAAAATAAAAAATTAAGGTTGGTATTAATATTTAAAAATTAAATTGCTATCTTCATTGTTGCTAACTTACGGTTTAAAGCTTTTTATTTTAACTTTTTGGTTTTTTGAAATAAGTCCGTCATTTTTGGACTTATTTTAAAGGTTGTTTAATGACAAATATGTCAAAATTGACGTTGACGTGTCAAACCGGAAGTGATTGTATTTCCATTAATATTAATGTTAATTATGTCGAGTTTGGACTCATTTTAAAGGATTTTTATGAAGTTAACAAATATGTCAAAATCAACGTCGAAATCAGATTATTAGTTACTAATTTACAAAGTTAATGTATAAAAAATTGTAAAATGAAATTAAGGACGAAGTGTTACAAGTTTACAGGTTAAAATTTAAGAATGCTCTTTTTTAACAAAAGAAATATTAAGAAACTTGGGAAAAATTCAAGAATCATCATGTGGCTTAAAAATCGACGATTTTTTTNCGGCGCTTACTTTGATTGTAATTTGCTGATTTAATATTTTCAGAGAACGCATTTTTTCTCGATTTTTTTCTTATACAACCATATGATTTGATATGTTCATCGCGTAGAGGGATTTATCTTCTATCAAAATATGCAAAAAAACATATGCATCCCATTTAAAATAACAATGTTGGTTACTATAGCAACAAAACAAAAAACAATGTAAACAAGCAAATATCGCCAAAAAATGTGCCACAATTAATAAAGAAACTTTTAGTTATCGGTTATTTTCCAGACATTTGACACACCCCGTATAGAAAACTAACTTCACGTTGAACAACGGAAATTATAATAAGATTCAAAAAATTAATATATTCACCAATCGTTATTGATGTTGCAACCTAGGGTTCATCTACGAGACATTAAAATAAATAAAGCATAAAGCACTGGAATAATACAAAAAAATTCTGGAATTATTCTTTAGGTATTAGAATACTATAATGGGATACTACTACTAACGGTTGAATACTAGAATCATCCAACAAACGTTTTAGTCACTCATTAGTCATTGGAATTAACCACTAAATTTTGTTTTAATCATTATGGTAACTGTGTTTAACTCCTGCATACTGGAACCAATTACTATAGGTGTTGTTTCAAGCAATTGGATACTGAATTCAACCAGAATGCTGAAATTATCCACAAAACATTTAAGTCATCCTCTAGATAGTGGAATCAACCTCAAATTCTAATTATTATGGAAACTGTATCTAGCTTCTGAATACCGAAAATAATCACAATAGATTTTGCTTCTAGCAACTGGATACTAGAGTTAATCATAGAATACTGAAATCATCTACAAAATGCGGAAATCATTTACTAGACTCAAGTTCTAATCATTACGGAAAATATGTTTCACTTCATAATAACAGATCCAATCGCTATGCATGCTGCTCAAAGCACTTCATCCACTAGACACTGGAGTTAACCATGAAATTGTGGATTCATTCACAGAAAGTTGAAATTATCAACTAGATATTGGAATCATGTACTACATTCTGCCTCTAATCATTATCGAAATTAGATACTGAATCGGATCATTGCTACTAACCATGTTTACCTATTGGATAAATGTGTCATACATTGCGCACAGTAATCTTCCACTACATTCTACAGAATGCTAAAATAGTCCTGTAGATACTACATCAATGATTAATACTGGAATCAACAACCGATACCTAAGTATTTCGTATAGCTAACATTCAGAGTATTTACTATGGTACATGATAAATTTGGGAATTTTTCAACTATTTCAAGTATTTCAAGTGATTTATGGACGATTTTATCAAGTGATAGAAGTTATCTATTGGTATGTGAAGGTTGGGTTGGTACATTCTTTTAAGGTATTGTATACCTTGTTTATCTCTTCACAATAGGAGAAAGTGCATCTATCTTAGAAATAGAAAGAAAAATAAAGTAGAAAATAAGTTATCGTATAATATTGAGATTTGTTACTAATATTATTTATTTATTTACTAATAGAATTAATGCAAGCTAACGCTAAACAGTTTTTAAAACATAAATATCTACACAATAAAATTGGAAATAATTTAAATTTTTTACATCACTTACATCAACCAGTTTTAAACCAACAACTCGATTTGTTATTCAGATATCCCTCAATTCTCACCACATCAAAACGTTCTCACAATAATTTATACTATTTAATTTATTTAAAAATGGCACAAACAGTTTTCGATGGATTTTTTTGTCAAATAATAAA